AATCTTTGGGAATCAAATTTAATTGAGATATCCCAAAAAAATTGGAGATTCTTGTGGTAAAAAATTTAGAAATTTTTATACCAAAATTTAATTCATTTTAAATATTAATTCAATAGGAATCTATTTTTATTGGTAATAAATTTGAAGATTCTTATTCCGAAAAATTGAGATTTTGAATTGACATATTTCAATAATTATGGATTTTTTCCATTCAAATTAATGTTGTAAATCAAACAAAATATTATTCCGATAGTAATGGGTTTTATACTAAACATTGATAAACTCAAAATCCTTCATAAATTATTCATATTTATGAATTTTGGGTGTAAATAATTAAATATATTGATTTACCTTTTGTAAATCTATTATTATATAATAGAGACGGGGATTTACTTGATATAGTATTGAAATTCACGCTTAAACTTTTTAAAATTACTATTCTTAGTATTTTTTTTTTAGAAATGGCGGCTAAATGAAAATTCGAATTCAATTTCAAAAAAATTGTTATTTGAGAAAGATGTTGTGTAAACTTTAATTCTTAAAAACATGGTCATAATATTGATCATAGAGATTTGTTACCATAAGTATAGAAAAAACAAAGGAATGTCTTCTTTAATTTCATTCACAATATTATTGGTAAAGATAATGTAGAAAATATTTTACTTATAATAATAATAATAATAATAATAATATCTATATGAATATCAATAATTTGCAAATTATTTTTAAAATATTATACTAAACCTATTGGATTTGATTTTGATTAACAAATAATTAATCTAAATTTAATTTTTTTGCATAATGTGACAACCTATAACGAAAAATTTAAAAACCAAGTAAATAGTTTTACGTTATAAACTTATTGATATTAGATATTATACTAGACCTGTTTTGATGGAAAAAAAAGAATATATTGAAGAATAAGCCTTTACATGGGTTATGACAGGTGGCATGATGGTATTGATCATGCCCAACTTGGGCCATACTATAAAAAGAGGGTTGAGGTATCTCATTAACACACTCTCTTTGAATTGATTACTATACTCTTGAGAATTTAGTTTGGAGTGATATTGACTTAGGCATCGGAGGCTCGACGCGGGGACCCCCCGAGCGTTGGGTTCTTGCAGTTACGGAGACCGTCCGAGTTGAAGAAGCTCGAGGTGAAGTCCATTTCACTAACGCCTATTATTACTTAATAAATTTTCATATGCCTAATGTCATATTTATTTAGTATGCTTAATATTTATTTATGAGATGTGCATATTAAATGTTTAATGTATATGATAATTAATTTATTGCTATTGGTAGCATATATAATTAATTACGGTAAAAAAATTATAGATAATTTTTTGTTTTAAATTTTAAATTGCAATTCATAATTGAATGATTTTTTAAAAAAATAAAAATAAATTCTTCCTATACAATTGATGAAACAATTTTTTTCAACAAATCACATGGGTGTCCATATTTATTTAACTTCAATACCTTATTACAGTTTGGAAACAATCCAAATTATAGTTTGGAAAGATAAAATTTTGTTTTTTGTACATTAACAATTATAAATTATTAATTTATTTTAAAAAAAAATAATCAAACACAATATCTTGAGGATATCTTTTATCATAAATTTCAATACTCTAATTAAAAAATTTCCATCATAAAATTTACTGATAATACTATCTAATTACACATTTTTTTAGGATTAATACATATTCTTTTTAAAAAATTCATGCTACACAATCTTGTGAAATATTGTTAACTTTTTCATACCTTCTTACAGTTAGGAAAATATCAAATTTATATGGACTATTCAAATTATTTTGTCAAATAAAGTTTTGAAAATTTTTGACTACACAATCTTGTGAAATTTAGTTAACTTTTCAGAAAATACAAGCAATTGGTTGTCGAAATTTATCTAACTACAATAGTTATCTCCATTATTTTTGTTACATTAACAATCGTAAATGGTTAACTTTTTTAAAATAAATCAAACGCAATATTTTGAGTTAATATCTTCTACCACAAAATTCACCAATAGTACTGCCTAATTACTAATTTTATTTTTTCGCTTAACATATTTAATAATGTCATAAAATCACTCACACACACACACACACACACACACACACACATATATAGGGAGTGGTTCGAATAAAAACTAGTCCTGGTGTGAGAACCGTGAGAACCGTATTTAATGTTATTTTTTATTGTGTATGATGCTATTTTTAATATTACATGGTGCTATCATTTTCACAAATGCTAATATAAATTGTGTTGCTATTTTTATGAAAATAGATCCATTTTAAAAATAGCACTAAAACACAATCAATCATAGCACTACGTACAACTATAAATAGCGGTTCTCACGCTAGGACTTAGGTCTCATTTATATATATATATGTATATACATATGGTTTTTTAATTATTATGAGATTGGACAAATTCTAAAAATGAATAGAATGCATATATGGCACAATATTTATTTTGAATATGTTTAAATATTTTTAAATTAATTACATAACTAAATAATATTAATGTATATTAAATATCTATCATTATATAGATATATATACTTATATATATAAAGAATATTACTTTTATAAATATTATAAATAATAATGACATTACATGACAATAATTTTTTTGTAAAAAAAAAATAATAGTTGAGTATTATGATGAACAAAAATATGTACAATTATTATTTTTTCTGTATCAAACACTAAATATAGACGTTAAAACAATATTTATTAATATAAACATTTAGCAAGCTAATATATTGTATAAAATTTTAAACAAAGCTTTTAAGAAGTAAGCTCACCGTGCATCGCACATGATACTCACTAGTAATATATAAAAAGGATACGAATTTACTTGGAAAAGGAATTAAAATCTCGCCTAAAATTTTTAAAGTTACTAAACTTGGCAATCTTTTTTGAAATAAAAAAAAAAATCCTGCCTAAATGTGTTTTCGAAAATTTTTTGGAAAAAATTTAAATTCAAACATTTAAATGAAAAGATCACAGTCAATTTTTTGTTGGTACATTCTATTTTATCTTAACTTCCATATTATTACATTCCTAACAAACTAATTAATATAATTTTTTTACCCACATTATCTAATCAGATATATATATATGTATATATATTAAACAATATAACCGATCGGACTATATAAAAAATAATATTTTTATATTTTGCCAATATGTATTATTTATTTTTCTGAAACCAAATCAAAATAACTGAAATTTTAATATATATGTTAAAATGGACACCTGTATACAACATTTTTTATTCTTTTTGTCATTCGATCTCATTGTGCAGAATATGTTGTTATGTCGATGTGCATTATCGAATGCATTAATGTGTATTTAGCATAAAACTATGGTGCAGTCTATTAGTCCTGCAGATTGAAAAGCATCTCTCTCTTATTTGTATCAATGACAATTTTTTGATTGGTCTGTGAATTAGCCCCAATGATGGTCATCATGGGATCCTTAATCATCGCCAGACAAACGTTCTCGCTTGGCTTGCCCAAACGCTGCACCCCAATCACCTTAGATGTCGCCTGCGGCTTCATCACGAACTCTGCATTTGAACTGGCGAGATGAAACGTAATATCCGATAGACTCTTAAACCCCTGAGACATCATGCTCGACTCATAGCACAACTCCAAAGCACCGTAACTCACATTCATTTTCTTGAACCACTTCAACCTCTGCAGGAAATACGCCTCGACGTCCCGTTTCAGAACATCGAACACGCGCGACACGAGTCTCGTCACCGGACAACCCGTGTCGATAGTAGTGCCTATGTTAAGCCTGAACTCGTTAGCGTTTATGTTGAGCCTTTTGTTGTTGAGGCTTATTCCTTGCATGTCGAGGGAATAAAATTTAGTGCCCGCTCTTCTTTGAAGTGGGGTCCTCCCGATTTTCACTGAGGGAGTAGGCACAGTGTTCCCTAAAGTTAGATAGGATTGGAAAGTCGTCAGGGGAAGTGGCAGGAGGTAGTAGAAGAATTTTCGATTTACAGAAGTAAGAAAAGGGGAGTCCCAACCGAGCCCCATGACCCCAACAATTCGGTTGTGACCATTGACTTTCGGAAAATTCATATTATTGTTTACAATGCCGCACCCGAAAAGGACGCGGGGGATTTTCATCACGTTGCCTGATTTCGACTTGAGATGGAATGTTTCGTGGGCGAGAATGCCGGAGGTAGTTGATTTGTCTGTGTATGTGAGATTGAAGGGCTCGGGAAAGTCGGTTCTTCCGCCAGTGGTGGCAAAGGATTGGGATGTTGTGTAGGGAAAAAAAAGGGGTGGAGTTTGGTCGAAGCATTTTGTGCAGCCCTGGCATTGCATCCAGACTGTGGAGCTTCCAGTGTCCATCTGTAGGTGGTATTCCTTGTACGGAGGATTAGTGGATGGGATAGTGCCGATCCCAACTTTCACGATGTAGTGATAAGTCTGCACGTCTATGTGAGCTGATATGGGTGTTGTTTGCGGCGTGGGTGGTGTTCGCGATGTGGGTGTGAGTGGTGTTCGCATTCTGGGTGGTGTTCTTTGGGATGTGGGTGGTGTTCGTGATGTGGGTGTTCGAGATTGCATATTGCCGCTTGAATGGGATTGGAATAGTACCAAACGCTTTACTGTTTCTTCACTTGAGAGGTTGGGGTAGAAATATGGCGAGTTTTGATGGATCAATGTTGTGATTTTTAGTCCACCGGAGTTCGCAAGTGACACTAAGTTTAGTAGGAGGGTTAAGAATGTTGTTAGGGAATAATAGAGTGAGATCGCATATGCAGCTGTTGTTTTCGCCATTGTTAATTAGTAGTAGTGTTTTGAGTTGGTTGCATTTGCTCATGATTTATATATAGCTATACCTTCTCTGTCACAGCTATTTATTTAGTAGGCTTTGCCATTTATAAGTGGGATTTATGTGTAGTTAATGAGAACAGTTGAAGAATATGGAACCAAAGATTTAATCTTATGATTGGTCGGAAAAGAGTGTGTATTTTATATATTTATTAACGTATTTTTATATGCTTAATTTTATCGCACTTATATATTTTTCGACTTATTTATTTATTAGATGGATTCTAGTTCTTTGATATTTTTATGTTTTATTTTTAGGATATTGGAGTATTTTTATGAACGATGAGACGGACCAAGAAATTACTAGCGAGTTGGACTAAGGCTACGTGATTAAGGCCCAATATTATAATTAATTTGGAGCCCTGGGAGAATCACGCAAAATGGGCTGATATTATTTACGAGGCGAAGGCTTATGATTTAGGGAAATTTTCACCTATGCTATACTTTTGTAAAGTAATTGCTGATTTACCACTCAATCTAATTTATTTGTGTCTATACCTAAAATATAGAAACTAATTAAAATGTTGCCTAAATAACAGTTACACGAGATATACCAACTTTCCATGTTTATAGGGCATAATTTCAGGTATCAAGATGGAAGAATATCACGTTTGAATTTGAATTGAGATACGGACGGTACAAAAAGAAAGAGAACACGCCGGCGAGCAGAAATTTTCCCGACAAAATCGACCGATGTTCTTCATCCATTGAAAAAAAAAAAAGCTTGCTTTTTTCAATCGATTGTCTCCGACAAAAGATTTGCATCAAGAGGTTAAAAATAATTGCGGTGTCGATCAAATCCTGCGGAGAGCACTCAACAACCGAACAACACTCAAGAACAAATACATACAGGCCAAAAGATTCGGAGGTATATATATTTTTTTTTTGTGTTAAAAACCTGTGCCGAGCAATCATCAACCTGGCGTGTTTTGAATATTTTGGTACTGATTTCGTCCCCCTTTTTTATTTCTTTTTTTTCGCCAGATGGATCCGAATATGATGATTTTCATACATCATGGGGGTGAATGGGTGATGAATGACTACGTGAATTACCAACTATCTGGTGTTTTGGTTCGGAAAGAAGGCAGCTTCAACGAATTATGCGGTATATTATGTGAGGAGCTCGGGTTGATACGTCAATCATCTGTGCTTGATCTAAAATATAAGCTGAAAGAAGGTAGTCCACTAATTTCGATAAACAGCGATAGGAGCCTTAGCTTCTATGTATTTTTGGTGTCCAAAGAAGATGACTATGCAAAATATCCGGTGTGCGTTGTGGTGAAATCTCGGAGTACTGTTGAAAATTCGTTTGATGAAGAAGTGAATATAGGGTCTGTGAATGGCGAATCAGACATTGCTCCACTGTGTTATCCGGAACTTGACAGGCAACATGATAGATCAGATGGCACGATAAATTTCATGTCGTTCGCGAGGAACGTGGCTGCAGAGATGGTAGAAGTGGCAGCATCTACCGAAAATATACTTGACATATACCCAGGTTCTGAAATGCGGTTGACAGCGGAGGAAAATTTTGACTCTGGTATTGTTGCTGGTCTCTTACTAAAGGATAAGGAAACGTTACAAACAATGTTGACCATGCATGCACTAAAGCATCAGTATCAATTCAAGGTTGACAAGTCATGCTCAAAACAATATTATGTCAGGTGTGTATCGAATGATTAGTATCCTGGTATATTTAAACTATATTCTGTAATATTTGACTTATATTTTGATATATGTAACACTTTTAATATTTTGTCAGGTGTGTCTCGAGCGAGTGTACATGGTTTGTGAAAGCTTCCCGTATGGGTCGGTCAAACACTTTTAAGATAAGAGACGTGGGGACTGGACATATATGTGGTTTGGATGTCCGTACTAGTAATCAGAGACAGGCGACATCAACACTAGTTAGTAGTTTCATCAAGTCAAAATTCACAAACAATAAAACTGCATATAATCCGGGTGATATCATTGACGACATGCAAAATCGGTTTGGGATAAACTTGACATATCACAAAGCATGGAGGTCGAAACGTAAAGCTGTTGATGAAGTTCGTGGCAAGGTTGATGAGTCATACAATTATGCTCATCAATATCTTAGTAAGGTACGTGCATCAAACCCGGGTAGCAATGTGATGATGCGCACCACATGGGATAAGAATTTCATGTATGTTTTCATGTCACTCGGTGCATCTGTCAAAGGGTGGGTACATTGTCGGCCAATTGTTATTGTCGATGGGACATTTTTGACGTCGGTATATGGAGGAATTTTATTGACAGCCTCTTGTCAAGATGCAAATTCTCATATATTACCGCTTGCATTTAGCGTTGTTGACTCCGAAAATAACAATTCCTACCTCTGGTTTTTCACAAAGTTGCATGAAGTAGTTGGTGATAGGGACGGTCTTTGCATTGTTTCGGATGGTCACGAAAGCATAAGGCACGCAGTAGAAAAGGTGCCATTATATTTCTAGTAACTTTTTAGTATTTAGTATGCAGAATATACTCTCTTCTCCAGTTGACTCTTTTTTTCTTGAAATATTAAATGTTCCCAGCGGTTAGTATATTTTTTGTAACAGTTGGGCATTATTTTCCGTGATTTAGAATATATTGGCAATGCACACTTTTGTATTATATTTTTTTAGTAACAGTTATATTTCTAGAAAATAATTAAGTATTGAAAGGGTATATTTCTAGTAACAGTTATATAATATATACACGTTTAGAAAAGGTGGTATTATATGTCTAGTAACAATTAAGTAGTTATTCGGCAAAATATAATTTTTTCTCCAGTAGTTTTTTTTTTATTTTTTATTTTTTTATTTTTTAAATATAACTTGTTCCCAGCTATTAGTATATTTTTGGTAACAGTTTGGCATTATTTTTCATGATATATAATATATCAGTCATTTGCTTGGTTATATATAATTTATTTAGGTACTCCCTAATGCGGCGCATTGTCTGTGCACCTATCACATCTCAAACAAATTGAAGATGCGTTATAAGACGGAATCACAGGCAGTAAAAGAGGAGTTTTATGCAGCAGCGAGGGCCTATACGGAAGAGGAATTCAATAAGCATATAGCACAGATAAATAAGCTGAATCCAAATGTGGTACCATATCTAGAAGAAATTGGATTTTACAAGTGGGCAAGAGTTCATTGTCCAAATAATAGATATTTTACCATGACATCTAACGCTGCTGAGTCAGTAAATGCTGCCATACGATCCGTCCGTGATCTACCGATAACACCACTACTAGAGGCGCTTAGAGATATGCAACAACGGTGGAATGTGGCAAACAAAGATGAAGCAAAGGCCACTTTTACTCCTCTTGCAAAGAAGCCACATAGGTGGTTGGAAATGAATTACCAAATGGCAGCAAGATACTCAGTGAGTGTTATTATTTTTATTTTTTATTTTTATACCTATTATATACTATATAGGTACTAGTAAATAACTATAATATACCTAAAAAATACTGTAATATACTATATATATACTAAATTGTGTAACAGGTACAGAAAGCCAGTGACAAAGTGTATAAAGTGATGGCTGATGGTAAGGCATTTATAGTAGACATTGAAGATAAGACTTGCACATGCCACCACTTTCAAGTTGACGAGCTGCCATGCCCGCACGCTATACGTGTGATCAAGTCACTCCACCTGGATCCGGTCCCATTTTGTTCTGAGTATTACTTAACCTCTTCTATGTTGGCAACTTATGAAGATGCTGTGATACCAATAGAAGGTAATCAAGCATTCATATTTAATGCACCGTCTGTCCAAAGATTGGTAAATCCTCCAGATGCAAGAGTGAGGCCAGGTAGACCACGCAAACAACGATTCAAGTCGGGGTGGGAGCATCAAAAAATAGATGCAGCAAATGTCACGAGAAAGGTCACAATGTGAAAACTTGTCGTAATCCAATACGATGAAATCATTACCATTGACGTGTACAGTATTTAATGGTTTTTGAGTTGATTGTTGCTTACTACCATAACTTCTTATTTTTTCTTGTTTTTATTTCATGTGTGTGAAAGCAGCATGGAGATTGGCTATACGACGCACATTAATAACATATACGAAGGATGAAATGTATCGCGAAAGATATACAACACATTTACAAAACATATATCATACACATACCAAACATATATATGCATCAACACCAATCTTTGAAGGATAAGAACAGTAAATATAAACTTATGAAAATACAATGAATATAGCACAGATTACAACGAATATATCAGAAATTTCTACTAATATACCATAGTATATATCAAACATATAACGTGGATATACCAGAATATATCATGGATATACCTGAATGTAATTTCATGTGATGTATGTTCATAACAAAGGTCATAAAAACATCGTTAAATGTGGACCAGGGAAAAAAACAAAACATAAAAGTTCAAAATAATATACCGAAATTATAACAGAATATAATTTAGGAACACCAGAATATAAGTTCAATGTTTTCCCCATAATATAATATGTCCATAAAAAATATACCAGAACATACCGAAATTAAAAACAGAATATAAGTTTTATACACGGCGTGTATAAGTTCATTGTTTTCCCCACATTCAATCACAGCCATCAGGAAAAATCAATCCTAAAAATACTTAAAAAAATTATCTACGATGTTTTCCCAACATTCAAAAGACCAAACCGAACTCCATCGGGGGCACTACCAGGTGATTCGTCGTCACTATCGTATCCATTAGTTTGCTTCATTCGGCCATGAGTATAGAGAAAATATGCGTATCTCTCCCTGAAAGAGGTGACATCGAACTTGTCGTTGGCGATGTCGTGACCCGAAATGAAATGCTCGGCGTACGATGCAACAAATACCCCACAATCACTGTCGATAATAAAAAAAGTATAACACAGGTATAAGTTATTAACAAGAATAACAATAATAATAACTATATTAAT